CGTACTATGTTAAATGTATATTTTATAGTCGGAAAGCGATCGAATTAGTTTTTTAATGCAAATTTGTTTTTAAATAAAATTAAAAATTGAATAGTGAAATTCAACACAGTTTCCACGGAATTATTATTAATTACTATGTTTTTACGAGATCATTTTAATTTATTGGAAAGAAAAAAACTGAACCGAAATTTCTTAAATTTCTTTGTTGTTTAAACACATTTTTGTTTATAAATGTATATCAAAAAGTTTTTATAAAACTACCATAAAAGTTTTTTGGTTTAATTAAAACACCGCTTGTTTGTTCAAATTAAACTTTGTATTAAAGTAGGAAATACGTTTATAAAGTCCGAAACAAATACCTTATACTGTGATTTAAGTTTTTTTTTAAAATATTTTAAAAATATTTAAACAAGTAACATTCCGAATGGTTTTTTAATTAACGTTATATCTTTAATATTATACCTTTTGTCTGATTTCACATTATTTTTCAGTTAATAAATTATTATTATTATTGTTGGATTTATAAGCACAATTTTGGAATGGGTTTCCCCCTTTCAAAAATATATGTATGTAAGTTGCAGCGGAACTGGGCTTTATTGCCGATGCCGATGACCGTTACGACAATAACACAACACTACACAACACAATACTGGGCACTTTTCGTTCGCTCGGCGAATGCCATTAGCTGACGGCGCAAGCTTCGGGTCCTTTTTTTGTGCATGTTTCTTCCTTTTTTTATTGGGGGCGGGGGTAAAGCTTAGAGAGCACAACACACAGCAATAGCAATATAGCTGCAGTGGCAACGACAACAATAGTACATAACCAACTATACAACACAACAACAGAACGCACACTCGCACACTTACAGGCTCCAAGCAGCATGCTGCAGCGAACGAGCGACGAGCCGACGATCACAACGGTACATAACACGAAGTCACGGCCCGAGAGCTGCAGCAAAACAAAACACAGCACAAAACAATGCAAAATACGGACGGCAGCAACAACAACACCAACAAAATGTAACTAAATACGATGCAGGCGTGTGGCAGGGGAAATGGGGGAGTGGGTTGGGTTGGGGCCCTCCATATCCCCCCTTTTCACCCGACCACTTGCAGCGCCGGCAGAGCGAAGGACGAACGAGCGAGCTGGAAAGACCGAGTGCGACTAACGGTAAACAGGCCAAGGAGCAGAGCAATCATCGTCCCGAGAACTGCTGAGCTTCGCATCTTCGCCTCTCACGAGTGCCAGCCGACAGAAAGAGAGGGGGAGAGCGCCACAGAGAGAGAGAGAGTGAAATAGAGAGCAATGATGGGGGGAATAAAATAAAATACAAGCAAAACAACATAAAACCCAACAACAACTGCCATAATAACAACAACTGCAGCAGCAGCAACAGCAGCACGTGCAATTAATCGGCTGCTCTCTCTCGCTCTTTCTCTATTGCTCACCCCCACCTCCCCACACCCACTTTACCGTTGCAATCCGAGTTGCCTCTCTGGTTGGCTGTTGCATATTTCCCGGCGCTGCGCTGGTGTGAGTGTGTGTGTTGGCATTTTTGTTTGGTAAACTGCATATACAACAATACAATAAGCAAGACATCTAGGGGGGCGAGATGATGGGGGCCTTTACATACAGGCTATATGAATGAAAATTCGGCGCATGCCATTTGACGGCCTTCCTATAAAAGTCAGTTAGGCCATGTGCACGGGCTCAGTTGAGTTTCAACTACCAGAGTCCGGACTTCGAGTTTAACTCCATCACCCCAAGAAGACATTCGCCAAAAAAAGAGCACAAAAACACCAAATAGTCAAGGAGAAAAGTCCGTCTAAAAAGTATTTTTGTCGCTGCATGGAAAAATTCCTGTGATAAAGCGACGGCAATCGGGTTCGCCTAATATTTCGGACGTGAGTGTGAGCCCCGTGCTCGCCAAGGTGAGTTAGTGTTGAAATGTGGGAAGAAGTGTGTGGTGAAAAAAGGAGCAGTTCAAATTCCCGATCGTTTATAAAGACTTTAAACAAGAATCAATTAGGAATGTTTTAAAAATAATTAGATTAACTTCTTCTTTGTGGATCTCTAATGGGATCTTTTGTAATACATGACGTATGAGTAATATTTGGATTTTCCAGCTTAAGTGTGGTGAATTTTATGAAAAACTTAAACCACTATATTGTATTAATGAACATTATTTTGTTTTCGAATGGAGTAAGTCAGAATTGTCTTGCGGATTAGAATTATTAATTTGGTCATACGTGACGTATGAGTTATTTATAAAGTTTCAAGCAAATGCGTGTTATATTTCAGAAAAAAGTATGCAACAAGTTTAAATTCTTTGGGAAAAAGAACGATCACCTATATTACTGTAGGCTATTTGGATATTGTATGATCTGTTCGTCATACGTGACGTATGAGTAATATATTGAGTTTTAAGCTAAAGTGCGGTGAATTTAAAGAAAAAGTTTAACTATTATATTATATAGCTTCTTCAGCTCCCAGACATCGCTAGGCTTGCAATAATAAAGTTTATAAGAGGCTTATAATTATACTAAAAAAAACAAATCATACTTATTTTTTAAAGATTTATAAGCATTTCTGTCTTTAAAACACCGTAAATTACTTCATCTTCTTAATTTTCATTAAAATTCAAATTAATCTATACTATGAAATTGCTTCTGTTACTACTTAAGATCATCTCATTATTCTTATCCTTCAGAAACCAACCGCCTCCACAATTTGTAATCTCGACCCGCACGGCTGTCAAGGCCGTTTAAGCCAGTTCATCGCCCCATCATCAGTCAGTTCGATCACTTCGAACCTACTGTAAGTAGAACACCATGGGTATGCAGAAGATATTGCTGCTAGCAAGACCTCAAATGCAAGGATACAAAAATGATCTCTTGAAGCAGCGGTACAAAACGACGAAATCCAGCCCCAAGAGGGTTAAAAATCAAAGCAATCGTAAATAATGTCATAACCAAGTATACTTATAACTTATAACAACAATCAATCAAGCGATATGTAATTGTAGGGCCACTATGTTTGCCGTTAGTCAATGTATTAGCCATATCTGTCTCTGAAACTAGAACACCTTAAACTTACTTAAACCATCACAATCTAGGGACAATGCATCTAAATAGGAAATATTTAGTTTTAAGATCAATTACAATTAAATAACATTCACTGTAAGACTCCGAATCCGAACTGTTAGGGCCCAAAGGAAAGACAACCTATTTAAAATCAATCGTTCGCAAATAACTTTTTGATAAATCCCGCTCCGAGAGCTAAACATTGGCACCGTCCGCTCAATCCGGGGCATGTGATCCGTTTTAACTCTACGATCCAAACAAAATTATCCGTGTAATCCAAAGGATATGGGTGTCTGAAGTTTCTTAACGCGTGCGCGGAAATATCATTATAAATGGAGGCCAAAGTCCGGACCTTGGCCATAATCGGTATCTGCGAGCCGTGCGTCAAGCGGCTGTCGCCCCTCGCGTCGGTTGGGCGGGTGGTGGGTAACAATTTACAGTTACACGTTGGGAATGCGTTCGTAAAAAATAATTGAGTGAATTATGTAAAAAACAAAATTCGGATAAGTGAATGGTTTAGTTAGGATACACAGCTATTGTTTAGCATGTTGCATGTATCAGTTGGATTTCCTGATATTTCTCTACATGAAACCAAAAATGGTGTGGTTTTTGATTTGTTATTTAATTTATAATAGGAACTTTTCTATTATTTTGTATTTATAATTTTTAAAATGTTTAATTTAATGTATATACCATTGTTGCCCTGGCAATACATCATCTTTTAACATTTCTGTGGGCAAGACCGTACTGTACCTAGGACCCTTGCCAATGCCACACAAAGACTTACATTGTCTAAATGAGCAGAGGCCGGTACGAGAATTGGCATAACTGGAATATCTCTCTAATTTAATATCAGCATCTTGATTTATGTGTATTAAGGGGTATTAAATGGGTTCTTTACCTAATGAACTATACGTGTTAATAAGGATTTCTCAAAATTCGGTTTTGTTTAATCACTGAGAAGGATTGCTTATCTCAATCAAGTTTTTCCAACTGGTCAATATGATTTTTCAAAAATGACTTCACTAAACTTGAAACTTATCAAAATGTTTATAATACATGGGGATATCGTGCGAAATAATGGTCCAATTAATTTTTTTTCACTCCAATATAAACAAAAAAAAGCATTTTTCGAAAACATAGATTTAATATTTTTAAAATGTTCTTCGCGTAATACACACATTAATCCAGACTATAATTGCATTTCGATTTTTTGATTTCGGCCTACAAAGTTCTCCAAAATCTTGTTGGCCAATAACAGTACATTTTTTAGTGTAGTATTTCGGTAAACCCCTTTAATGAAAGTCTTAAGAACTCAGAAGTCTGCACATAATATTTTTGTTGTAATTCATAAAAAATGTACTAGAAGGAATCCCATTATGTCTGTAAAGACTTAAAACTTTCATTTTCATATAAGAAGTCGTATATTCTAAACTAAAACTATATACTTATTATTTAAATTGTAAAAGATTTTTACTTGTTCAATTCTTTTCCCATAATATGATTTCCGTGACGAAATAAGTATTTTTAGCAAGAAATAGTCTATTCCCCTTTAAAAAAAAAAGGAAACCCGATTTTTAAATAAATCCCAACAACTTTCTTGGGTGACTCTTGCCAATCCTTTTCCCCTTCCAGCCTTCTGTGGCCAACCTTGTTAACACTCCTGGCGCTGTCAACGGCGTCCACCCAAGAAATGCATATTTAGTCAAGTGTTAATAATGTGGCTGCCTTCTGGGGATCACCCCGACCACGAGTCCTTGCAGATGAGTCCTTACAGCCCGGCATTTGGTTAGCCGGGAAAGGTGCAAGCGTGCGTTAAGCCAAGGAACTCACGCAAGGCAAACAAACAAATGGCACGAACGGATAACAAAACAAAGAAAAAAAGAAAAGTAAGGGAAAATAAAAAGGAAAACTTGCCTGTCCGGACGGCCTCGATTCCAGGGTCGCGAATTATATTGCATGGAGTTGTTCTGCCGCCTGTGGATGTGAAAAAAACATAAATAAATAAAGAATTAAAATAAAAAGATAGGAATGAAAAGAAAGCCAAAGAAATGCATAACTAAACAGGGAATAGATGCTGTGAGACATTGCAAGTTGGGGCTGCTGTTAATTTTGTTATTCAAAATGTGAGCCCCTTCCAAAGATTTCGCAAAAGTTGCGACGTTTATTTATTTCCGCATTGCCAAGGTCCTTCCTTTACTTTTTCTTACGCCGTCTTGGGTTTTCTTTTGTCATCCAACTCCAAGGGAGTGAGAAAGTTGATTTTTATTCTTAGGGCCTGCATTTGAGTTGATAATGAAGGCAGACATTATAAATACACCCCCTGCTCTTGTATATTCCTCGCGGATTTTAATTTAGTGGTCTATAATTAAAAGTGATGCGTGGGGAGGAAGTTAGGTGGTGGCCAATTTGCACACAATAAAAAAAAACGAGAAAAGAAAAGTCACTGTCAATGGACAGCAATCCCGCAGATACAATTTACGTTCGTACGTCACGTAGTTTCAACGTCAATTGCCCAGTTCGGAGAGTTTGCCGGAATGGCAGATGGAGGAGAGTCCTGAACATTGAACGCACTCACACGGAAATTTCAATGACAGGCGAAGCCACAATCAGAGGCGTAGAGCAAATAGGGTATACATAAAATATTAAAATATTTCCTAAAAAGAATTTAAAATTATTTAATATGCTTTAAAATGTTTTCTTAGAAACATTATAGAATGTACATTAATTACTAAACCTTTTTTATAGTGTGTGTATTTTATTATTCATCTTTCATTTAATTTTTTTATTTATTTAAAACTATTACCTTAATCGTGTATAGTATTAAATCCATAGATATTTTGAATCAATTCATCCCCCTTAACCTACGCCTTTGTATATAGGCAGGCAGGACCCAAAGTATCTCATGGATAGCCGCAGGCCGTTGGCCACCCACTTGAAAATTTATGTGTTAATTTTAAGGTGCCCCAAAGTGGAAGGAGAACATTCAACGGAAGAACTTTGGGAGGGTATTTCATTCTTTTTTTTATATATATACATTTTTTTCTTCCTTTTTGTATTGGCCAGCATTTTTCACAAACTTTTTCCAGGTGCTGCCAGGGTCAGACGCCGTTGGTGGGTAATAAATGAGCTAATAATAAGTGAAATGTGCTTTTGAGTGACCCTAAACAATTGCTCCGAAGGGGAAGTGGTCGGTGAAATGGTAGAGAAAAAGGAAGAGACCGTAGAAATTGCTGTCAAATTGGGTTTGGGCAGTTGAAAAATGCGCCAAAGTGTCGAAAATTCCGTTGGTGACATGAAAAGATTTGTTTATAATTAATTTTTACCTTTTCGGGAATTTTTTTTCGTTGCTCATTTGTTCTAAGTTACGGAAAAATACAGCGGTTTGAAAACATGTGACGGTGAAGTATATTAATTACACTAATTCTTTTGGTACCCATTTTTTTGACAGTTTTTATTGAAATTTTTTAAAGGAATTTCACTTCCAGTTAAAATTGTGATATTAACATACATAAAAGATTATAGTAAGCAAACAAGGAATGCTCTATAAATATCTTCATGTATTTATATTTTAATATAAATGATAGAATTAGTAGACTAGTAATTGGAGTACTTCAATATTAACGTCATTACAAAATTACTTGAAATCACTTTTCATTTAAAATATTTAGAGCTTTTTAATTTCAATTAATAAGGAAGACATATGTATGTATTTATTTTATGCTTAGAGAGTTGAAGGATATCTCAATATTACTCAAATTAAGCTTGGGCAAAATGTACACCTAACTTTCGACATTTATGAGTGGCTCAATGTTTTCACTGCTTTGGAGGAAATGGACAAGGAGTTAGTAAAGGGAAAATAACAAAAGCCACAGGAGACAAGTGTTGACGTGTCGAACGAAAAAACAAATGCAAAATGGGTAAAAAAATGTATCGATAGAGAAAAACAGTAGCAGAAAAATGTGAAAAACAAGTAGGGGAAAGAATTTGTATCCGCTTGCTGCAAATTCCAATCAATTTTTGTTGTTCTTGAGGAGGATACGGGGCGACTCATTTGCCGGAAAATTGAGTAGACATGCATGTCCTGTGGACGAACGGAAATGGTCAAGATGCAGGTTCCAGCCAACAGGACCATCAATTAGAGTTTTTTTCAATGCTGGTGGCGGGCATCAGCGCCTCTTTTGGGTCCTTTGTCTTGGACGATGGAGTCGGTGGCCTGTTTGGTTAGCAAGATGGAGCCGGTAGAGCCGCAGGTTATGGCTAAGGACCAACGTCATTGAGACAAGCCGGTCGCTCCAGCAAACAAGCAAACAAACACAGTGTCTGTTACTCAGAGTCCCATCCTCTGTTGTTTGGCAACTTTTGCGGCCTAAATGGAATTTTGCGTTTGCCTAACTGGCAAAAAATTGGCCAAGTAGTGCAGAATGGGGAAGGTCGCCCTCGTCGTCGCACTCCATATGCCATGTTTTGATATGTGGAAAAGTCTGCTGTGAATTGGAAATCGAAGTTAATATGCTCCGCAGACTGTGAAACAAATCATTTTCAAGTTGTTATAGGAAATCGACACGTTTTTGCCATTTTATATTTATTATGAGCGTTTTTTTATTCTCGTTTTTCTTCGTTTGCCGGCAGATGTTGCCAAGTGTCAGGGTATGAGGAGGAGGTGGCAAATGGCATAAAACCTAATAATTTTATGATATTTCATGGGTGTAAAGTGGCGGGAATCTTTTTCTTAAAGGGAATGAAATCTATTGAGATTAACATAAAATAAAATTATATAGAAAACGGTTTTAAAAAAATGTAAAGTGATTACTAATTGTCGTTTTTGTATTTTTCATTGAAAAGATGTAGTTTATGAAAATTCTGCGTCTAATTTCCTAATTCTTCACAACTTATCAAATTATTTTTATTCAATTCCATTCTCTTAATAACAATTTCGTCTATAAGTACGACTTCTATATTCTTTAATGATAACTTCAAAAGCCCGCCATTTGGACGCTCAGGATACGACCACTTGAATATGCAAAACAGAGCGCAAAAAAATTCGTTTAGGTAAGCTATTTAACGAGGCGTTAGGGCGGCAGCAAAAAATCTCGTACGCAACACATTATATTTATGCGATACTGAAAGAAGCTGCTGTAAGAGTGGGATGCCATAAAATTAGTAAGCACGTGAGTGGCCCCGACCTCATTATCATAACCAAAATTCTGCGAAAGAGCAGGGAAAATTATGCTAACGTTGGCGGTTTAGTTGAAGGCTTTCGAATGCAGAAGAACACCAGGAACTTCACTTATTTAAAAAGGGGATACTTTAAGTTTAAGATAAATAATCATCATGTATCATCATGTGACTAAATATTTGAGTTTCTCTAGAAGCTTTGTAGATCCCTTTTCATAAATTTTCTAACGTAGATGTGTGTGTTTATGTGCCTCAAGATTTTTCGAGTACTATAGATTTTCAGAGTTGATTTTCTTACTACCGTTGAGTTGGGGCAACACTGTTCCGGAAGTTCTTGATGTAAAGGTACGACTCTGATGATGTTAAATGCAGATGTAAAGCAATTCAATTGCGTATTGAAGAATATACACCGTGATCAAATATTTGAGTCCCTAGAAGCTTTGAGATCCCTTTTCATAAATTTTCTAACGTAGATGTGTGTGTTTATGTGCCTTAAGATTTTCGAGTACTATAGATTTTCAGAGTTGATTTTCTCACTACCGTTGAGTTGGGGCAACACTGTTCCGGAAAGTTCTTGATGTAAAGGTACGACTCTGATGATGTTAACTGATGTTAAGTTCAAATGTAAGGCAATTCAATTGCGTATTGAAGATATGTATGTACATCGTGATCAAATATTTGAGTCTCTAGAAGCTTTGAGATCCCTTTTCATAAATTTTCTAACGCAGATGTGTGTGTGTGCCTCACGATTTTTCGAGTACAACAGATTTTATCACTACCGTTGAGTTGGGGCAACACTGTTCCGAAAAGTTCTTGATGTAAAAGTACGACCTGAGGCAACACTTTTTCTGCCTGTCATGTCCTGTACAAAAGAAATCTTCATGTAATATGTTTTCAATAAGAAAGTACCCACCAATTGTTATGATTTGGCGAACCACCTCCTGTGTGTGGTGATCCGCCGCCTGCATTCTTTCCCGGCCTATTCGAATCTCCTCCTCCTCCAGCATTGGCCGCTCCAGTCGACGCAGGAGCCGTGTCCCCCGATGGCTGCGGTTCACTCATGGCGTGGGCAAACTTAACAATCTTATAATGGCATTATTGCGCCGGTAGGAAATGTTTATTATTGTGATTAAGGCAACATGCGAATCACAATTGGCCAACGGACGCGCCGGTTAGCTTTGTACTGATTGGTGCTTTAAACGACCGAATTCCGAGCCACTGGCTTTCCTGAGAACATTAAGGCGTACCGATTTTAATTTTCGACCGAAATATAGCACAAAAATTAAAATAAATAAAACAAAATACGCCAGAACGTTAACAAAAAATTAACAAATCCGAGAGAGCGACTAGAAACAGCTGATGTGTTTATCGATTGTCATCCGAAGGGTAAATCGATGGGCGGTGCTGCCACCTCGCTGAAACTTTGGCGGCCATTCAAATTTGCTGGCAGCGTAGCTAAAAGTCAGAAAATAAGAATTAACTATCTAAAAGTATTATTTAGTAAAATCTAATATATTTAATAACAAATTGAAAACGTACTACGTCGGCAGAAAAACATTTAATACGCTGGCAAAATGTTATATTTGTTGTACCTAATATCCCATTATATATGTGTTATTATTAGAAATTCCATTTGTATTTATTTCATTTTTTTGTAATACTATAGAAATACATAGATCACGAAAACCAATAAGCACGTAAATTTTAAATGTGCGTTTGTCTTGACTTTATGCAAATGACTTGGCGCTTGCTTTTATAAAACTTTTTATTTGCTTTGCATCTTGTATTTATTTTTCGCGTCGATTTTTCATTTCGGGCCTGTTGGGGGTTTCTTTTAAATTTCCATAATTATATGCATCAGCTGGCAGGTGACTGTGAGGAGAAGACAAAGGACAAGAAGCACCAAACAAAACATCCGGAAAAACAATGCGAAGGAGAGAGCAAGAAGCAGGGACAATTTGTGTAAGTCTGCGTTTTTGTTATTTTTATGGCAGAATAAACCTGCGCCAAAGTGTAAATATTGACAGTTTTTAAATTATAATCAAAGTGAATAAATAATAAAGCGAAGCAATGAATAAACGAAACATTTTGCGTAAATTAATAGGGTGTTGTCTGGTCTGGTACTGTAGCGGGAATCTCTGGGTTATTTCATTCCAGGTCGTTTCTAGTAGTTAATTCTGTTCATGGTTGTTTCTGGCCGTGATTTGAATTCCAGATCGTTTCATGCAACTATTACGATTCCACTTGGACACTTGTGAACTGTGAAGTGATTTTGACCACCGTCGATCAGCAGGGGATGTAGCTCAGATGGTAGAGCGCTCGCTTAGCATGTGAGAGGTACGGGGATCGATACCCCGCATCTCCAGGAGACTTTTTTTCTCTTTTTTTCAGGTCCTTTACGTACTTAAGACAACTATTTAATTTTTTTTGTTTATTCAATTAGCTCCCTTAAAAACAAGAATAATTAATAAAATATACACGAAAAACAAACTGCTATTAAACACTTAGGTCTTTTGTATCTCAAACTACTGGACAAAAATAATCAATATTATGAATAGAAAAAAAAGAATTTATATTACAAAATTTTATTTTATATATAAAAATAAATATAAAAAAAATTAAACCATCTTGGAGATGCGGGGCATCGATCCCCGTACCTCTCACATGCTAAGCGAGCGCTCTACCATCTGAGCTACATCCCCATATAACGGTGCCTGATTTTGTGTACTCCAAGGATTTATGATTCCAAAATTTTTGGCTAAAAGCAAGTGATCTATAAATAGATGGATCGATTACTATTCATGGCCATGATCAGGCCTTTCAGCCGGATTTGAAACACACCAAAAGCATAAACAACATTTCAATGCAGTGACACAGATTGATTATACAGTAACTTGATTTCGTAGACCATGGGTCTTTTGTGAAAGTGCCTCGGGTAAAAATTATGCACGATTGGTTGGCGTTGATTATGCGACAAAGGCCTAAACGAACTAATAAAATAAGGAAAACAGGTTTCTCAAAAAAGCTGCATCGAATTTTGGATACTCTTACAGGTATATACCTTGTTTTTAAAATGTCTGAGTGCATTTTTTGTAGTAGTAAGCTTTAAAAAGATATGAATATAAGAAAAGATATAATATATAAAATATGTATCGCAGCCTTAGCTGCTATGGCTCTTAACAATAGGTTAGCCCTTAGCTTAAAATTGTTTTTATTAATTGTAACTTTAGATAATGAATCTAATAAAATTAAATCAAATAAAAAATGATTACTAAACAATTGCAACAGATGAAAGCAAATACAAGTTCCACCATTTAATAAAACAATGGTGGAATATATATTAAATGCATTTTAATATGATCTACTAAGATAAGACAAAAATATAAAGCCGGGCTCAACCGGGATTTGAACCCGGGACCTCTCGCACCCAAAGCGAGAATCATACCCCTAGACCATTGAGCCTCTTGTTTTAGTGCGAGCCAAATAGCCTAAACGAACAACAGATCGCAGGCCCTTAATGGCTAAAAATAGTAAAAACATGAAATTTCCATTTGTTATGCAGCTGAACATTTCGTTTCGATGTCTTTTGTTATCTTCCGAGGCAACGTTTTTGTTCAAGGTAGAGTGCAATGTTTGTGTTTCGCTTCGGGGTGGAATCTTAGGAGACCTTTTTCGCGGGGCAAAGTTCAAGGGGGGATGTAGCTCAGATGGTAGAGCGCTCGCTTAGCATGTGAGAGGTACGGGGATCGATACCCCGCATCTCCAGTAACTATTTTTTCTCTTTATGTAGGGAATATATATCTAGGTTCAGAGTGGTAAAGATTTTATATAGATTTTTTTAGACTATTTTAGGTGTCGTATCATACAAATTTAAAGTCAAATATACTTTTAGGGTAGACATACCTTCCTTCTTTCCTCTCTAGAGTACAAATAAAATTTAAATAATATCAAATATTATCAGATCACTTCCGACCGATCAATTCTATACTTTCTTTCCCTAAAAACCATAATTTCATTTAAACCTCTCCTATTCCTCTGCACTTCCCTTCGATTCATCCATCAGCCTAATGGAATAAAACCCTTAGACCAAGTTCGAGAGTTGCCAACTCCCGTAACCTGCACAAATATTTAATTATTCATAACTTTAAACAATCACGGCGACGTCAGCATCATCCGTGTAACCCCAGGGTCTATTCCCTCCCCATTTTCCCATCCCTCCCCCCATTGCCCGTTTACGACTCAACAAACACAATACAAACACACGCAAAAACAGACGCAGGAAGGCTTCTGCGGGGATTCCCCAGCTCTCGGCCAACGTTTAGCTGCTGTGCTGGCTGCCACCGCTGATGGTAATAACATTGTCGTAAAATCATGTTTGGCTTATCGTGGGACTCCCGGGACGATGATCCAGGATTTCCAGGAGAGGGGAAAGTACCGCGCACGCTGCATTTAAATGCCGGGAAAGTCGAGGAACGGCGTGAATTATAGTGGCGTAGGTTAAATGCCGTTATACAGCCACATAAACTGTGAACCCTTTTTTGACAACCAACTTGGGTCACACAGAAAAAAAAACATTAAAATTGATATTCGAAAAGGATATTGATAGTACGATATCTTCGAAGCAAACTATCTCTTTAACTTATATTTATTTAATTTTGAAACGAGGTATATAAACTTCTATTGTTCTTTGATGAAAAATAATACATTTATAGTATTTATTATATAAATATTTGTTTATATTTGTTTTCTTTCTGTGAGTTTAGATTTCAAATATAAATAAGCCATAGAGCTATGTCTGCGTCAAAAAGTTGTTGGCGTCTGCTTTTAATTTTTGTGAAATTATTTGCATTTGCTTCCCGGTAACAAAACTAATGCAAAGAAAGTTCCAACAGGCAAAGATGTCCTGGCTGGCACCTCTATTCTCAGACTACGGTGAATATTTCTCCTGGTCCTCGGCTTGTTTTCTTGTAATTATCGCTTTTGTTTGTTAGCTGAACTTTTGCCAGGTTTTGGCCGCCGGCTAACATACAAAATTAGCGCTCACCAAAATGACTAAACAATATTTACTATTTCGGCAGGATGCGGGCTCTGGGACTCTCAGCCGTCTCAAGACGTTGCCAAAGTGGGCAACATATTGTCCTTGTACGCCGAACAACATAATTTTCTAATTGGCCAAAGTTGCTGCCAAGTTTTCACCCCGCCAGACCACATTGCATTTGTTCTCCGTTTCGGTTTGGCTAATTCAATTTTAATGCTTGATTTAATATTAATTGAAAACGAAGTTGGAAAAGATTTATGAAAACAAAAGGGAGGCGGGAAATTTTAAAATCGTTTTTCTGGGATATTTAGGAAGTGATCAAGATAAAAACTCATTTAGTTAGGCTAGTAACTAGAAATATATACAATAAAATATTCTAAATATTCTCTCATTTATAAACTCTCTTAGTTAAATATCTTCGATGGCGGGAAATCCCCAATAAGCTTCCATTTCCGCAGTCAAACTCATTGAACCCTGGCATCTTTAGTCAGGACCCCAAGCTGTATTTACCCAAGAGCTTCCTAAGCCATTGGAAGGCGTTCATAACAGATGACCTCATATTCGTGGCACCCACACCCATGCCGCCTTTTGGCCAGAAGTTTGATTTCCAAGACGTTTTTTCTTGTCTCCGCTCTTTTTTATGGCATGCACAAAAGCCAAAAGGCAAACACACTCGAGTCATAAAAAGATGCCTGCGGACAAACAAAGCGACACACGAGTATAGAGCAAGACCAACATAAAGATCAAATGTCAATACGGGGAATCTGGGGGCGGTGGAGGTGGAGGTGGAGTTGGAGGCGCCTGCTAAATGTGGCCAAAAAGCTGGCAGAGGAAAAGACAAACAGCAGCGACAGGAAAATGTACAACAAATTTCTAAACGTTGTCATAAAAATGAAATGAAAACAAGCAGAAGGCGGTCGGTCAAGGGGGTTCCCCGGCAGAACTTAAGACATTCAATAATTTTACTTACGCCAAACTGAACAACAGCCAAACAACAAAAAATATTTAGAGGGGGGTTTCTGACCTTTTTATCGCTTTAAATATGGGTTCGTGACCAGGTTTGGGGGAATAAATCTTCGATGTTTTATGTTTATGTGCATGAAATTGTTTCTAACGACAATGTGTGTCCATGTAAATTATTAGTTTAATAACGCACCAGCTTAGGGCAATTATTATAGCTCTATCGGGATCATATTTAATGGGGCTTCAGAGATATACTAGAATGGGAGAGAAGAATTTACTTGAAATTTAAGAAAGGGAAGTAACATTAAAGGGTGTTCTATG